ATATGCTAGGGTAAAAAATGGTGTCCAAATCTCAAAACACAGGTTTGTTTTCTACTCATGTCACCTTCTCAATTGGGTTTCCCTGAAACTTATCTTCATGTCTTCACTCCAGGTTTTATGCAGACAGATAGGATGTCACTGGTCACTATGATAGAGGGAAGAAAAGAGCATGAGCCATCAAGTTTGTACCTGAAGTGATATATGCCATTTTTGCCCACATATTATTGGACAGAGCAAATTATATCGTCAAGTCAAATTTTACTGGGGCTAGGAGGTATACTCCTCCCCCAGAGAAGCGAAGTGTAGGCTGGTATAATTATCTCTTTGTAAATCTATATGCTTCCATGCATATTAACAAAGAGAAAGAAATATACCTTCTTCTTATTCATAGATCCACTCTAGTTATAGCAGAGACATGATTACCTAAAAAGATTCACATGTGTAAGTCTTTTGTGTTACATGTTTTAAGAACGCAAATCTTCCACTTCTCCAAATTTTATAAAACAATTTTCTCTTATTCTCATAGGTATTTAATTTAGAGGCAAAATTTAAATATACTTCAGTAGAAAGGATATCATATTTACTATCCAACTGTAAGGAACATTTATTCTTTTGGTTAAGAGTCTTGAGTTCAAGAAGGGCCGTTTGCTACAGTATCAAATAGAATCAATGGTCATAATTTATCAAGTGCTTTTCCAAATGGCAAAATATAATATGTTGGCACTTTATTGAATCAGGAATATAGTAGTATTTCCACGTTCCAAACCAAGAAATGGAGGTGCTTTGTTTCTTAAAGCCCCACCACTGGGCCAGAGTCCTAGCAAGAACATCTTGTATAGCTATCTTAATCCCCTTTGTTCTGAGAACCACCAGTAAAAGTTAAGCAATATTTAATAGCATGTTTGGTTGAAGTAAGGCAGAAATATTGGGGGAGAAACATAAGAGTGACAGTCAAAGAGATGGAAAATTGGGTGTAGATTAAAAAACTGCATCTGGCCATGCTTGAATCACGTCAAATTCTCTTTGCTGTCATTCTGAAGCATTTGTGTTGGGATTGCTCATTGCAGGATGAGACTGTCCTGCCTACAAGTTTTTGTCACCAAACCTTATTTCCTAGTAGAAAATGCTCCTATTATTAAAAAAATAAGCTTTTTCAACTTGTTTTCCTTTAACTGTTAACTCTTTGGCTCTTTTTGGATAAAGGGATTGACTTTATTGCCTTCCAGAACAACAAACAAGATAGCATCTCTTCTATAGGAGGTGGAGGAAATTCAGTTTGATAGAATACAGATTTCCTTTTTAAAAAGAACATTGAGATTTTTCCATAGTGAATTTTTTTTTTATCCATAGCCAAACTTTACAATTGTGTAATTCAATCATAATTCCATCAACAATAGACTGAGGAGGATCATGGCTGCAGTGATCACATAGCCAACACAGTGATTGGCATATAAAAGGAGCTCAAAATAATTCTCCAATAGTAGTAGATGATGGGTTCCACAAGGATGGACTGATGTTCATGGATCCATTGGCTTCATCTCAACAACGCATACCGTGCACCTCAGAGGTGCACTGCTATGATGATTAGCTATCGAGTATTTAGGAAAACATTATACATTGGGATTTGTGTCTGTACAAACTACTCTATGGCTTAAATTTTGAAAAATGGCCAAAATATTAACCAGTCTTAGTAAGGGAAGAATATTGGTAAGTTAAAGGGATTTAACAGAGCAGTTAAAATATGTATTTGGAACCAAATATGTAATATTAAATGAACATTTTGAGTTATGAATCACTCATGATTAAGGAACAAATTTCACAAAACACAGATAATTCTACCTTATCCTCTCAAACAAATTTTATTTGTATTCTGCTCTAACAAATATAGTATGAAGGCAACAGTTGTTTAAGTTTCTTAGTGTATGGCACAGATGAAAAGAAACAAACAGATTTAGAAGCAGTCCAGCATTTAAATGCTGGTTTAACATAAGAGGCACATATTATTCTATTTAGCAGTTTATACCAGGTATCAGGAGACATTTTTTTCCTTGCAAGCAACAGACTACATTTATTTGCATTAAGTAAAAACATATCTTGATCAAGAAAATTACTTTTTTTTTAAATTTTCCTTTATATCACAAATGTCAGGGTAAGGCAAATCCTTAATGAATCATATGATAAAAACCCTATTCCCCAAGAAAATATATTAAACATATTCTGCTAACTTTGTTATTTTTCAAAGCAAAGCCGACATGCACCACATACAGAGAAATGTCATTTCAAATCAAGTGCATCAAGCAGCGCTGTATTAATTCACAAAGAGGCTTTTCAGTTTTTCATAGAAAGATTTACAATTAGCTGTGGTGACTAATATGTGACCCCGTCTTACAGACAGTGTTTCGGATGCCTCCTTTGTAAGTTTTTATGAAAGAAGACTTGTCCATCATCTGAATAGTTACCAGCTCGAGGACAAGCCCCTTTGTCTCTCCTACAACGAGTACCTTTTTAATTAGAACTACTATGTTGAAAGCCTACTTCGAAACTCAGTATTCAAACATGACTAAAACGGGGCTATTTTCCTCCCCCGCTCCCTCCTGTAGCCCCTCACGGCTGCAATAGTGCCGGCAGTAGTGCGGTTGGACATTGACACCCAGAATTCATGCGCAGGAGAAACAATCAGCTTTCAAACTTTCTATAGCACAGCCTGTGCAATGAGAGCGCCAGTGAAATAAAGGTTTCCTGTGTTGAGGTGTCTTCCATCTGGCCCACAGCTAGATTTTTAATATTTTACTGTTAAAATGGAAATTAACTTCATTATTTGTTTTAAAGCATAAGATCTTATAGCCCAATAGCAATCAAAAAGCATAATAAAACAAAAATGAAAACACAATATAATCATCAAATGAACTTCAAACAAATTCAGGAGTAGGGCTGATGATAATTACTCCTTATTCTCTTCGTTTCCCAGATACAAAGCTCACTTTTCTTTTTCTGCAGTTTTTAGGCAGAGAACTACCTCCACCCACTCCTACCCACCCACGTTTAAACTGAGTGAATAAAACAGCTGTCCTGGATGATAAGGAGGACACCGAGGCTGAACTAATTCCCATCCCACCTGTTGCAGGGACATTAGGTCTCTTTCATTTTTATCCGTTAGAAGTCCCCGTCCCTCTCCCCTCCCTCCTATGTTTGAACTGTAACTCATTGCTGAGCGTCACACTCAAGTTTGGGAGTCACAGGAAAATGCGCTCCTAGCAGATTGCATTTGTCAAGTACTTCACAAGAAGGATGGTGACTTTCAATTAAGTTATGAAGATGACATAAAATATAAAAATTATCAGTGTTGAAATGGCATCATTTTTTGAATTATGTAAAATAAGCCTCCTTCGTTTTTCTAGAAAGCAATGTCTAATGACAGCAGAGGACTGTAGAAGAAATGGCAGAAGAAGAAGTGGCCATGTTCCAAAATCATGAGGTCACGTGAATAGCATTGCTGTTTGTTAGGTTGATGAGCAGCTTTTTTTTCTTCTTTTTTTTTTAAGATACAGAATGTTAAAACATATTACATATGCAGAAATACAACTTGCTGATGATTCCAATATACCAAATAAGCCATGCCGAGGGGCAACAAATTTAGAAAGGTTAACACAAAATTAATAGGAAGATAAGAAGGTGAATTTTCCGTAGAGGAAAGGGCAAAAGTAAAGAATTTCATGGAATATTTAGGAAGCAGAAACTTTTATTTCAGAAATACTCAATTTGATCCATTTCTTTTCTCCCTCTACTAAGAAAAAATATATCAATAGCTTACATTCTAAAGTCCTTATAAGGAAGATGGATTTAAGAACATATGCAAGAAATGATAACGGTTTCCACAAAGGAAAAAAAAAAGAAGGATGGTCTTAGAACCCAGGGAGGCTGTGGGAAGCGGCCATCTTGCCTCGTGAGGGTTGCTGTTCATGTTGGCTCTGGGATAAACATTTGTGACAACTTCTGACTTCCTCCAGGACCCTTCATCCCCATGCCTACACTACCACTGGCATCTTGGCTGCTCCCTTAAAGGCCACATTCACTGGTCTGCTGTAAGATGGGGCCAGCTATCATATTAGTCTTGGACTTTTGGCATGAGCAAACCACAACATTTAAAAGCAGATCAGGAAGCCATCATTGCAAGCAAGACCACTAATGGCCTCTAACTTCAGGTGAGAATCTGCTCTGTGGGCCATCAAACCTTGGGTAAAGATAAGATATTCTTTTATGGAAAGCACATATATAAAGAGAGCTTTCAAGTGGAACTTTTGACTTCACAGGCATATGTTTGGATGCTAAATGCTGCAGCCCTGCTCTCATAACTAAAACACCTAGAAAAGTGCTACCTTTTAATAATGGTATAATGGGTCACACAGAGTCACGTCTCACAGGGGGGCTCCATGCTAAAGCACACGATAAAGGCCACAGGAACCAAACAAGCTCTACTGAAAGTCAGTGTCACAGAAGAATGGCTCTGCTGTCCTGCCTACAATGACGGGAGAGACCAGAGGGTGGCCAGGGCCTGCCTGCCTTGTTTCACCTCTGTGCTCTGCTCTGGGTTAAGTCTTGCTTGCATATATATTCCCTGTTAACCGCATGGAACAAAACTGTACCTTGGGAATCCCTGAAGAAAATATAATTTTCCATTCCTCATTGTGACCTTTTCCAATTGATTTCTGAGGGTTTTGCCCATTTTCTATCTTTGCCTGTGTCTTATACAGGAATTGGGCTTGGTGATTCCTGTAGCTTATTAAACAATCCTCTTCCTTCCTTCCTTTGGAGAAACCAGTGTACAACCTGCTTTGTGAAATAACTGAGAAAGCAGACAGGGCTGAGGATACACAAGTGAGTTTAAACTGTGACCCTGGGGCAAAGTTATGAGAGAAGAGACAGAAATTACAGGAATAGAGCCTGAAAGATGCATGAATGTGGGTCACCCCACCAAATTAAAGGAAACATTTTTCTTCTTCTTCTTCTTCTGCATGTAAACAGAACAAAATGCAGCTGGAGAAATTAGAGCAAAGACTCCTGGTCCTTCTGCAGCACTTGCCTCCCCCCACCCCCACCCTCCACAGCCAGTGCTGCTGTCTTCCCACTCTCCCCCAGGACCAGGAGAGACTGTGATGCTGAAGACTGGCATTTACTTCCATTTCTTTGTTCCTTTGTTTCATCTTGTGCCCCTGCCAAACACAAGAAGAAACCATTTGTTAGATTAACGACAAGCCGTCTTCATAGGTTTAGCAAGGAATATTTTTAAGATACCATTGTCACTCCTTATCTTTGGGGGGATAACTTCCAAGACCCCCAGGGGATACCTGAAATCGTGGATAGTACCCAACCCTATATATACTATGTTTTTTTCCTATACATATATACCAATGATAAAGTTTAATTTATAAATTAGGCACAATAAGAGATTAAAAATAATAACTAATCATAAAATAGAAAAATTATAACAATATACTGTAATAAAAGTTATGTGAATGTGGTCTCTCAAAATATCTGGAATTTTCCATTTAATATTTTAGGACTATGGTTGATGGCAAGTAACTGAAACCATGAAAAGCAAAACCATGGATAAGCGGGGACCACTGCACAGCCATTTAAATGTTTCTTACCCCTTAAATATCTTATCTGACTATCAAAGAACTTTGGATATCTGAAATGTAATTGCTGGCACAGGGTATCTTTAAAAAGCATATAAATCACTGTTAATAAATGTATACCATATTGATAACTTGCTTCAGATGATGCCGACAATAACTCTTCAAAGTATTCTTTTAAAAACCTAAACTTGAATTGATGTGTCCTCCTTCTTAGGGCCCATTTGTACATTTTAGTTTCCAGAGCTCAACATAGAAATAATAATAATGACAATTTACATAATGTTGATTTGCAAAAGTCATTGATGATTATCCCACCACTTTGAGATCTTACTTATTATCTGCTGTGTTCCCTACCTGTGAGAGAACTCTAAGAAGATATCATGCCTTAGAAGAGTTTATGTTCTTTACATTTTTAGATTTTTAAAAAGTAGGTATAATCCACATATAGGGAAATGCACAGATGTTAAGAAAATTTCAATCTGTTTTGAAAAAATGCATACGTTTAACTCAAACCACTATCAAGATATAAAACATTCCCATAGTTCCAGAAAGATCCCTTTCAAATTACTAATCCCACGCCTGTTAGAATCAATGATTGATCTGATTTCTATCACCATAAATTACTACATCACTACAAGTAAGAACTGGAGCAGATGACCTCCGAGCTAACTTTCTACTTTGGTTTTCTATGAATCTTTCTGAAAAACCACTCTCTGAGGTATGTATGTGTATGTGAAAGCAACATTGTGCTCATTGTAGACAATATTTAAAATATCCAAAAGTAGACAAGATAAGAAAGAATTCTGTGTAATCCCCCCATTGACAATATGCCTGTAGTTAATATTATGAAGTATTTCCTTAAAGGGTTTTTCTATATCTTTTATACATATATACATAATCATACATTTTAAATTAACAATGAAAATTATAAACATGAATAAAATTACAGACGATAGAATAACATAACCAGAGTATATCCACTATGCAGATTTACTGTGTTAATATTTTTCAAATTCCTTGTGATTTTTATTTTACTTAAAAAAATAAAACATTACAGATAAACTGTTTTAGATAAATTAATTTAATTTACAGATAAATTAACACTATTTCTCTTCCCAGAAATTACCAAATCCTGATATCAGTGTGAATCAATAACTTGCATGTTTATATAACAAACATGTGTTTACAAATGCACACACACACATAATCAAAAGTATGTAGTATTACTTTGTATATTATTAAATGTACATAAATAGCAATTTTGTTTTACCCTGTCCTTACCCACAAATTGCTATTATAAATTTATAGTCAATATATATTTTGATTTGCCTCTGTGTTTACCACTTTACTTGGCTCACAATTGTTTTCTATACCCTGCTCTTTCCTCTGGGCTTAATTTTCTTCTTACTCTTGTGCAACATTTAGGAGCTTTTAAGACAGCGAGTAGCGATTTTTCCCCCTGAAAATGGCAAATTCCATTTTCTTAAATGACAGTGAAACTAGTTTAGAACTCTATATTGACAATTATTTTTATTCATGTTTTGAAGACTCACAACTATTCCATTGTCTTCTGACTCTTGATGTCCATGTAATACCGAATTCTTTATAGGTTAACTCTCCTTTCTTTCAAATTGCTTTAATTTTCTCTTTTTGGTGTTCTGCAGTGCTTACGTATTCATTTACTTTAAAAATAAGTCCTTCTTGTGACTTATTATTCTTCTTTTAACTTAAAATTCATGACTATTATCAATTCTGACAAATTCTCAGCCATTATTTTCCAAATACTGGCAATGTACTATCTCTTTGTAGACTGTCTAGTGAACATAAAACATCTTGTTTCTTCTCTTATCCTTCATGTCTTCTCATGTGTCTTTTATATTACATTTTTATTTGCTTTTTCTAAATTATTGTTAATTTTTCATGGTGTCCTCTTTTCCTATCATATCTGCTTTTTATATTTTTGTCATTTAAATATATTTATTTTATAAAATCTTAAAAAATATTTGCTCTCTCAAGTTCTTATGGTACTAATTATCCTGTAATTTTCCCACTGACTCTCTTTTTTTTAATTAAAGTTTATTGGGGTAACAATGGTTATTAAAATTACATAGGTTTCAAGTCTACAATTCTGTAATACATTATCTATATATCACATTGTGTGTTCACCACCCAGAGTCAGTTCTCCTTCCATCACCATATATTTGATCCCTTTTACCCTCATCTATGACCCATCTCCCCGCTTACCCCCTGGTAACCACTAAACTATTGTCTGTGTCTATGAGTTTTTGTTTCTTTGTTTGTTTGTCTTGTTCCTTTGTTGGTTTCAGTTTTATATCCCACATATAAGTGAAATCATATGGTTCTCGACATTTTTTGTCTGACTATTTCTCTTAGCATAATAATCTCAAGATCCATTCATGTTGTCGTAAATGGAATTATTTCATCTTTTCTTACAGTAGAATAGTATTCCACCACCAACTCTCATTTTTAATGGATCATTTCCTAGTGTGACTTGTAAGTCTTAAAATCATGAACTTGTCTTCAGAAAGTATTTTCTTATGTAGGAATTCCAAGTGATAGTTTTACATTTCCATTGTGCTATCTACAGCAGGGAGAAAACCGGTCTATAATCAACTATTAAATTAATTTCTCAGTTTATATATTACCATGACTTTGGATGGCACAGATTTGTGTTTTCTACTTTTCATGGGAGACTTTTTCTTTCTCCCACGCAGCACCCTGGGCAGACACAAGTCTTCTTGTTAATTTCTGGAGCTGGGAGTCCCAGATTTATATATGTAGAGGTAACAGTTCCAACTCCTTACCTTGTGTTGCTCAAGATCCCAGGTAGGCATTAGAACCCAATCCCTAGCCATAAGGCCTATCTTTGCTTCAACAACAAATCTGTAGTCTTTAGGGCTGCTGCATCTCCAGTTTATCAGATTATTGATTTGACTTTCACATTCCTCTTCACTTCTGCAACCTTTGCTCTCATGTCATTTGAGCTACATATTTTGAAATATTTTTTGTTATAGTTTATCTCTCATTTGTAAGCATCTGTATTGGGAGGCTTCTGCATTACTCTCACTATTTCAGTTACCTATTTCTTCATAACAAACAAACCCAAAACTTAGTGGGTAAAAACATCAATTATTTATTATTTCTCATGATTCTATAATCTGGCCTGGCCTCAGCTGGGCAGTTCATCTGCTCCAGGCGCTATCCACCAGGGCCAGAACATCAAAGATGACCTCTCAGTTTCCAGGCTCTCTCTCCACGTGGCTTTTGTCATTCTATAGAAGTGCCTGAGTTTCTTATAAGGTGACTGGGTTGTAACAGCAAGAATTCTGAGTGAGCAGAAATGGAAGTCACAAGGCCTCTTAGTGCCTAACTTGGAAGCCACACTCTGCCTGCCATATTTCTCTAGAACTAAAGGTTCAGATTCCATAATCATCTTTATATGCCCTCAAATACTTGTTGAAAAATTATTTTTACATTTGCAGAATGTTTTATTGATTCATTCATTCATGTATTCTCTCATTGTTATTTGTGATATTCCTGATTTTTTACATTCATAAATTATACAACACAAACATTCTTTTATTATGTCTTTGAACTCTGTAATTCTAATTCAATTTTATTATAGTTCTTTAATTTCCTTGAAAGTATGATGCACAGAACTAAGGTTAGGTTTCTTCTTCCTGTTGAACTACAAGATAGTCTCTACAAAACCAGCTGTATAAATATTTCTGTGGGAATTAGTGAAGTTCATTAGGTCACACTGTTCTCTGTGACATCGTGCTTGGAAACTCACTATTGTTTGTGGAAGGTTTAGGACCATCAAAGAATTTTGTACTGGGAGTATGTCAACTTCCATTGATCAACCAAGTGACCCTGTGAAAGCCCTTTCTCCTTCCTGGAACTGAGTTTCTTTAAACTAATTTTGAGCTTTAAGTTTTGACAACTTACTCATTAGGGTAGAGGTAAAATTGGTGTTGATGGTCAAAAAAAATATTTTGACATTGCCCAAAGAAAACAGATTTGTACTGGTACTATATCTATATATTGATCACACAGGAAAATAATAGTTTCTGTAAGAAAAATATCTAGACAAGAAACCTATAGTTTGTTGGCAACAAAAGAGCCAAAGGTAAGGCAAAACTGAAGAGTCTATATTTGAAATTTTCAGGTTTAGTCTCACATCATTATTTTTTAATGGACACTCCTCTACCATACCATTTGTGCTGCTTAGCAAGATATTTAAAATACATGAACAAGATTAACAAAAAATCAGAAGAAATGTTTATAAGACCATGTTTGCATGTTTACAATATTTAGAGTTCTATGTTATATATGTATTATACAAATGCTATTATATTTAATTGTAAATGATGTTCAAGACCATGATGGGAAGAACAGATGTGTGTGTACCTTCACACATTCTCAAACTTTGCTCTGCGCTGATGCAGCAGCTCAAGAGTCTGGTGCAGCATGGCTTCCTAGAGGAGTGCAGAGACCTACTGAGAAGATACAGGAGTGCAGGGAGGTGCTGGGAGGCAAAGGTGTCAACACATTTGTGTCTTATGCTGGATGACCCACAGTTCATTTATTCCACACTTTTTCTTCACAGCTAAGTAATTTAAGCTAGGAATTGAAATAGTGAGCCTGACTTCTTTCTTCTAATTCTTCTCACTAGTCCTCAAGATATGGAAAAGGGTTACAGACCACTCATCATTCTAGATATACTTCAGTCTCTGCTGAGAGATTTAGAGTGTTGGTCTGGAAAAACTCTTAACTGAGGTCTGGCCCATAATTTTAGTTTCCTGGTGAGTTCCCCGAGGCTCATTCAACTCCACCAATGTTTGCACAGACACAGTGGTCTACAGGTAGTGGAGTGACAGGTTAGGACATGAGATAGGCTTCTTTCTGTCCAAACACACTCAAGGGCTTTTACACATTCTCCAGGGCAAACACTTAGTGTTATGCTTAAAAATAGATATACTAAAACAGCTCAGCAGGTAACTTCTAGAAAAGCAATACTTCAGGATCAGCTTGGAGTTGCTGAAATAATTTGATCACCACAGGAGGCCAGGGGGTGAGATAGATAGGAAAATATTTTTTCTTGTCAAAGCTCAGAAAACCAAAGTACTGCATGATTTGAATATGCTGTGGCTTATCTTTTCCCCTTAAAGATGGCAAGCTAGGATAATTCTTGCTCCTTTCACTGTCATTTGGTATAAAGATTTTTAAAGTTTAGCCTGAGCCATGCTATGGGATTTGGTAGAGCTGAGGGAAATCCAATATGCCATTTACAAACAGTTCCTGTGGCCATTTTAAACAACTGAAAATCCCACAACAGGGCACTTACCTATTAGTTAATCTTCTTGCTGACTCTCTGTTGGGTCATTTACACTGTCAACCTGACTATTCATTTCAACTATAACCAGAAAGGAAAACAAAAAGGATAAATATTCACTAAATACAAATCTCTTAAACACATTAAAATGGTCTATGAGTAGATACTTTTCTGATTTACTATCTTATACCTCTTTTCAGTTCATTTTCATTCATTTAAGGTTTTGGGACCATTTTAGTTGATTTTTACCAGTGAGGAATGGGGAGGGAAGAATTGCCCTCTTCCCTCTGAACTGTAGAAACTGAGTTGTCATTTTATACCAGCTTTTTGGGTTGACATTTTGGATATATTTATTACCATCCTTAGGTAAATTCAAAGCCATTAATAGATGTCTAAGAAAATAAAGAGAAAACAAAGCAAAAGAGCACATTGACTGGCAGAGAGGTAAACAGCACCCTCTCAAACAGTTATGTCAATAGGCTTCTTTGTTTTGCCATGCTTTCAACTTTGAAATTCAAAACAGACCCTGTAAACTTGCCAGTGAGTATAGTGGCAATGGACCCCATGAAATAGAAAAGCAAAACATCTAACCAGATCACACAGCAATGATAAAACAAAACCTGTGTTTTTACTTTACTGTGTGTATTGTTCTCTGTGAGTATTTGCATAAAAATAGAATGCATAATTACAGCTATTGTCCAGAAGTATTGGAGCACAGGCATTGCAATCACTGGAAATTTTCAAGGGTCAGTAGGTTTAATTAGGTTGATATTTTTAAAGCATCAAAGCCCATTTTATAAACTGAGAGACAATATACAAATGGACAATGGCCTGACCATATACAGCAAAAGAATTCTGACATAAAATCTCTGCAGCAACCAGTTGGGACAAACAAACCACAGCCTCTGCAGCAATCACCTCACGATGGTCAGTGACTGCCAGCTTCCCTATATTTTGCCCCATTCTTTCTACATAGGACCAACTAGGAAAAGCAAAGTATGTTCCCAAGCCAATTACCTAAGATGTCCCACTTCTAGTTACCCAAGTCTCTCTTCCCCATGCGAAAAATGACCAATCAGAGGATGCTTTGAGCCTTCCCTTTTGTTAACTATAAAGGTTTCCCACTTCCTTGCCTGCCTTTGAGTAGGCCAAACACAAGTGATAATGGCTGACAAGCTTATAAGCTCAATTAAGAACTTTGTTTTCTCGTTTGGGTAGCTTTCATTTATTTGCACAGAATCAACAACCCAAGTCTTTTTCTTGAACATGAAAGCATGACTCAAGTAAAATAGTGGCAGATGCTGTTTTTCACACCCCAAAGAAGCTTGAAAGAAGGAATGACATTGTATGGCATCCCACTCAACTCTCTCAGAAGGAAGAAGGTTTTAAAAGCAGGTCTTTTTGTTCTCACCTGCACTCTAGTCTGGGTTTCTAATGATGTGAGAGCTCATTCTAACCCCAGGTGTAAACTGGCCAGATGCAGTAATTCTACCTACATAAAGAGAATAATATATATATATATATATATTCAGTCTTGGTCTACAAAGTTATTGTAAGTTTGTCTACCTTAGTGTATGAGCATACAGAACAAAATATAATAGAGCATTCCTTTTCTGCTTCTCCCTCCAACCCAAGGGTCACTAGGTCCAAAATTTATTAACAAATGTTACTTAAAAAGCATTCCATGATCAAATAAGTTTGAAAAAGCAACTTCAAACCATGTTAATAAGTTTCCTTCCTGCTGAGACTTCTTAGAGACTAAAACATGCATGCTGAATCTCCAAGTGAGGACTACACCTTAGTATTTCCCACATTTATTTCCCTTTCATTCAGTGAGCATTGTATGGGCCTGGTATTCTTCAGAACATGCTTTGTAAAGCACTAGTTAAGAGCCATGTCTATAGAGGCACAACTAGGCTGGGGCAGGTTTTGCTCAACTGAGCATGACTAACATGGGTTGGCTTTTAATGGACAGGTCTGGTGTTCAAAAACATTATTCTCCTAATTAATATATCCCCATATGTAAAAAAATCAGTTTGTGCAAAAGAGCCTATAGCAGGGTGGAATACCAAGTGCTACAGGGAACTCTATTTAAAACCACCAAGTACCAGTAGCTGAATTTTTCCCAAAGTCATTATCAACTAAAAGTAATTTCCGTTTTTTAAGGGGGGAGGGCTAAAACAAGTAAAACTGCAAAAGAAGTATATACCACTGATCACTGACCAATTCTAGTTCACCTAAGCTCTTCGGAGCAGTAGAATTAAATAAATATTTATTAAATCATGTATGTTCAAATAGTAGTTTTCTAATGCAAGTTATAAAATATCAAAGTGTATGCTGTGCATGGGGAAGAGCATGTTCATATTCCTGAGGCTCAGAATCTTCATACACTTTCAAACTGAGGTGGGAATTGTCTTAAAAAAGGGTTTTGTGAATTTATTTCTAAGGTGCTTTTAAAGACTCTTTATGGTTTTGGCCAAGCCATCTGATGTGATACGCTGAGGCAGAGTAATAAAGGCCCAAGAATAACCTTGGCCTAAACTCAAGCCAGGGCTCCAGATTGGAGCAGGGGTGACGCTGAACAAACACTTGTGGCAGAAGTAAGTGATATTTATGTGAAGTTCACCAGCTAGACTTCAGTCCAGTTTAGACTTGGAATTACCTAATGTGGCCTCATTATTGTAAGGTACAATTGAACTGAAGCACACGCTGTTTTTTAAACTGAGCTAGTGTCAGTGTTTTAAAAAGGCTGCCAATTTTATTAGTTCTTAGTAGATTTCTTTTTTTAATTTCACCTTGTTCTAACTGAATATGTTGATTCATAGGATAGCTCCCTTAATCCTACATTACACACAGAAAATGTGCCAGATTTATGTCTATATGAGCTCAAATCGCTTCTGATCCCTACCATCAGCACTTGTAGAGTTTTCTGTGTCACAGGAACCTTCCCTTTTCACAGAAACTCGAGGCGTGTCCTCGTCTTGAGCTGAAAGAGTGAAAGAAGATAGTCCTTGATTAATAGAGAATTAGAACAACCTGACTGCCAATTGCTCTGTCACCCTCCATTGCCTTCTTAAATTTAAAAAAAACTCCTGGGATTCAACTTCTTTTGCAGGAAAAGTTAAAGGAGGGAATAGTGTTTTGAGTTGTTTTTAAAGCTTTAGTACTGTCATCTTCTAAATTCTCAAATTTGTGAGATAATCACATGCATACATAGATACACAATTTCTCAAATTAGAAATCTGGTAGCATGAAAGCAGGGAAACTTGGTTTAATCACAACAACCTACTATTTAAATTTTGGCAAATTTGTATATATGTGAGTTTATGTAGCTTAATCTTTGAAGATAGAAAAAAAAAAGAAAACCTACTTTTCCTTAGGCATGCCTGAAAGTAGAAAGATTCATTCTCCTGGCAGTGAGGTTTTTCATTTAAACACACACAAATGAATGGTTTAGTTCCTTCCCTAGGAGACTTCCACAGATGCTGCCATTTTGGGTTGCTGAAAATCCAGTCTTTAGTTAATTTCTATTGTGATTTTTCTCTATTTGCACAGCTTCAGAAAGCCTGTCATCCATTTGCTGTAACTAAAGCTGTATAACATGCTTAAATGTAACAGTAAGAGTATCTTTTTTTTTTCATTGCAAGAAATGTTCCACATAGTCAAAAGGACAATATCCTCTTACTTCTAAGTTGAATATCTACTGTGTTTTCATAACTTGAAGAGCTAGGACATTTGAAAATACAAAAACAGATACAGATCATGTGCTGGAAAATTAATAATTTCAAAGTTTTAATTATTTTTGTATTTTTTAATATAAATTGTTAAATTCATTTTCATTGCATGAGTACTTATTGAGCATGCATTATGTTAAGTGTGGTGTGCCTGTGGGTGAGAATGAAGCAAAGATGGGAAATATACAGTTTTATAATCTCTTCAAAGGAATATGCCTTCAAAGATAGAACTTACTCTTGGTAATAATTTACTGAACAGTCAAGAAATATCACTCAAAGGTGACCAGTCTCTGAGTCTGGGTGGATTGATGGTAGGGAGGTCAGTACTTGAAGACATATAAAACAAGCAGAGTGTAGGAAGGGAAAGAAAGCCATTTTGAATTTGAAGTTTGAAGTGCTGGGTCACTTCACTGGAAATGCCAAACAAGCTTTTGTATCCCGTGCCAAGGAAGAAAATTATAAATTAGACGTACATATTTGGGAGACATCAATATAGAAGTTATACCGATGATATAAGAATAGATGAGAGAAGTCAGGAAAAGGATAATACAAGAAGAAAAAAATATATTTGTAGGCTCCTGAGCCCTTCAAGGACAACATGAAAGTAACTATGTTCATGAATTCTTTTCATTAGCTCCTAAGGGTGAGATTGAGGAAGGGAAAACAAAACTTGAAACTTCCAGCTGGATGTAATGCTATATCATCTTCTTTCTCACTCTGCCATTTCTAAAAAGTGGACTATTTTTCAATTGCTCATCAGCGCATTCCTTAAAGACACAAAAACAGGACAAAAAAATGATGAATTTCTGTAAGCCTGGGAGCAGAAAATCTTTGCTAATTATGCCTGAAGACACAGAAATAGTAATAAAAATTGGGAATATTTGGCATTATAGAAACATAATAAAATTTTGGATAAAAAATACTATAAGTAATGTTTAAAAAATAAAGATTACAAATTGAAGAAAAATATGTATACCTTTTATCATAGACAAAGGGTTAATAGCTTTAAACATAAAGGACCTTAAAAATAGAGATGAAGAAGATCAAGAATCTGATAGATAAATGATCAAGAAATTTAACAAACAGATCATTTTTAAAAAAAAGGCCTATACGCATGTGAAAAGATGATTCAATTTGCTAATAATGAAGGAAATGCAAATTAAAATCACACTGAGAAAGGAATTTCTGCCTAAGGTACACGACTATGATGTAGGTTAACTCTCCTACCAAGAACAGCTAGAAACACTGGACAGATTATATAAGACATTATTTTAAGGCACTAGAGAGCCATCAATGCAGCACAAACTTGAGGAGGTGCAAAATGGTGAGTTTGACATTCCACATGTGCCAAGAAGTTGAACAGAGCCTCCAGGGGTCTTATAAAGATTGGAGGGGCTGGGGTAGGAGGGAGGCACACAACTTGGAGGTCAGGGCCTACCAAGAAAGAGTTGCCCTGGTAAGCACTTCGAGTTTTCTGTGGGGTCTCCTGAAGGGTTATACTCTTGGGTAAGAATGAACTTGAAATAAACCATCTCTTTAAAAAAGTGAAGTCCAGTTTTATTTATTCAGATTGTGACACTGGTAGTTTCGTGTCCTTTACCTAGCCCCTCTCCTACGGACCTCAGCTTTGAAGAACAGAGCCTTGGAATATTGACTTATACACTTCTCCTATTCTACCTTCACCTAAGCAGAGATCTCACCTGTTAGCTTTTCTCTATAAAGCCTTCCACTACATGTGTCTTCCAGTTTAGGCCTGGATGTAGCTTTTGCTGTTTGAGGCAGAGATAAAGAAAATGTTTTGTGTACGTTGCTTACTGAATAGTGAGGACCAAAAGAAAGGTCTCTGATCAACTTCAAAACAAAAACAGAAAACAAAACCAAAAACTAAAGTTCAACTTTTAATCAATTCAATTCTTAATTAAATTACAGTGCTCTTCTCTGTCTTATTTGCTTGTCAGAAGCAAAAATAAATCCTCTGAAAAAAGATTAAACCACCTAGAGACTCAAGTTGTCTCTACAATGTTTTATACAAGTGTCCTGCATTTGATAATAATAATAATAATAATAATAAAAATATTACCTAGCATTCCAAAATAACAAAAATGAATTACTGAAAACAGATAGAGACATATTAGAGAACCAGATATTACAGACACACTTTAAAATAATTATTAATGTGCTTAAAAATTGGATGCCAAGTTGGAAACTTTTCATGGTAAAGAAATTGGTCAGGTAACTGGAGACTATTAAAAAAAGTAAGATCTAATTTCTAAATGTGAAAAATATACAATAATTGAAATTAAAAATTCAATAAATGGATTTGACAGCAAGTAGACACCACCAAAGAAGGGATTAGTAAACTGAAATCTAGGTTAGAAGAAAAATAAAGTACAGATGAAAAAATACAAAGAGTTAGTAAACATATGAGATAGGGTCTATCATACAGATATGGCAAAAGCAGTATTTTAAAAGGTAATGGCTGATAATTTCCTACAAATTAATAGAAGATGTGAAACCACTGTTTCAAGAGTGTTATGCTCCACAAGCAGAATTAATACAAAGCCAACCTCACATAGGCCAATCTTTGAAAAACTGCTAAAAATCAAACTGTTAAAAATATATAAAATTTTCTAGTGAATAAAAATCCATTAACTTTAAAATAGTAACAATAGGACCTATAGATAACTTCTCAACAAAAATAATGGAAGCCAGAGACAATGCAATGACATCTTGAAAGTGCTAAAAGAAAAAAATTTCCAATATAAAATTTCGTATCTAAAAAAAGCCTCTTTCAAAATTTAATTTGAAATAAAAAGATTTTCAGGAAAAAAAAAGTGAAATTTGTTATCAGTAGCCCTATGTTGAAGGAATAGTTTTCACCATACTGAAAAATAAATTCCAGATATATTATAGAACTAACCGTGAAAGGTAACATGGGAAAAGGCCTTCAAATCATCAGGCAAAAATTTCTTACACAGGAAAAAAAATTGGCACTAACTATTAAGGAAAGACTGATAATCTGGAAAACATTAATTAGCATCATTAGTTTATCAAAACACACCATTAAGAGAGTACAAAATAAGCCAGAGTGGAAGAATATATTTGCAATTCAGGTAATTTACAAAGGACTCTTATACTAATACATAAAGAAATCAGTATACAAAATAACAGAAAACACAAGGCACCCAATAGAGAATGAGAAAGACATAAACAGATACGGCATAAAAGAGGATATCCTGGCTGGCCACTTAACTTTTTGAATGACTTAAACCAAATCTCATAATATTTAAAAGCCTTGGCTTTTTCAATATTAAAATGACTATAAAATGTTCTAACTGCTTGTCTAACTCTCTGGGAAACCATCAGAAATAATTAAAACATAACAGTATTGTTATTTTTATAAGAAATGATTACTGCGGAAGGAAAATTAGTTGACCTAAAACGAATTCAACATTACTTGCTGGACTTTCTCCCCAGGTTTGTTGTTGGTGATGGGATCCAGAGTACCTGTGGCTGATTCTTCCAGTAAATCTCTTTCAAACTCATTACTATCAACAGTAACAACCCCAGTGATATTATTAGGAAGAAACCTCTGTAACATCGTAGGAGACTTTCTAATACTCAGGATGCTAGTCAATTAAAAAATGCTCAATGAAAATGAAGGAGCATAAAGAACACTTTTAAGAACTGGGTGAGGGAGGAAGGAAAATGTTCAAGAAAGCATAACACAAAAGGCAAATAAAAAAGCAGTAAATATTTATGTTTTTGCCTTATATTTTGTTTTTCCAACTTAATTATGCTATAATACAATACATTCATATGAGAATTCTTGGGTTGTGCCACCATATTGGAAAATAGATTAGCATGAGATGCAATGGCAGGTTTGGCATCTATGAGAGAGAAAAACAGAAATCAAGGTTGCAGTTCTGTATACTGCTAGGTTCTAGGAGCAGAGTGAGGCATAGTTTGTTAGATCTGCTTTCAAAAACTCTAAAGGTATGTTTGGTACACATTATTTATTTATTTAATATCATGAAGGTGCATGATGCATGTATATATGTGCACGTGTGGTATGACTATATGACTGTGTACGTAGTGGCATATTTATGTGAATATGCACATGCATGTGAGAATATGCATGTGCATATGTGTATGCATGTGTGTGTTTGTGTGTGTGTGTGGTATATTGGAAAAGAGGAAGAGGAATGATAGACATTTGTTACTCTGACATGCGTGTAGAACTGGTATTATC